GAGTCTCCTGCCTCAGCCTCCCAAGTAGCTGGGACCACGGGCGCCCGCCACAACGCCCGGCTATTTTTTGGTTGCAGCCATTATTGTTGTTTGGCAGGTCCGGGCTGTATTTGAACCCGCCACCTTAGGTGTATGTGGCTGGCACCTTGGCCGCTTGAGCCACAGCGCCAAGCCATTGTTTGTTTTTTTTAAGACAAGAGCCTTACTTTGTAAGGTAAAGTGCCTCGGTAAAGTGCCATGGCATCACAGCTCACAGAAACTTCAAACTCCTGGGCTCAACCAATTCTCTTGCCTCAGCCTCCCAAGTAGCTGGGACTATAGGCACCTGCTACAATGCTCTGCTATTTTTTAGAGACAGGGTTTCACTCTAGCTCAGGCTGGTCTCAAACCTGTAAGCTCAAGAGAATCCGCCCACTTTGGCCTCCCAGAGTGCTGGGATTACAGGTGTATGCCACCGCGCCCGGCCTGTCATGTTTTTATTTACCCCCGTTTGACTACGTGAACGCAATGGTCAACTAGTTTTTATGAATCATTAGACAGTCATCCCACACAGAATTCAAAACTCTCTACACAGAAGCTACATAGTAAAAAAAAAAAAAAAACTTGTAATATGGTCTTGTAAAAAATGCTTTTAAAAATAACTGTCTGTACTATTATGCTAGGGCACTATGGGACAGAACAAACAAGGTACATCATATCATTCAGAATCCTTTAGTGGCTTTCCATTTCTCTTGGAGTAAAAGTCCAATATCCTTACAATGGCCACGTACTCATGCCCATGTCTACTCCTTACCCCTTAGACCTTCTCTGCTCCAACTACCCTCTCTGCACATGGGCACACAGCTGTCACTATTCCTCAAAGTTTCTCTCACCATATTTCTGCATTGCTTTTTCCCTCATCTCCCAGACTGTTTAAAATGCACCTTATCAGTGATGCAGACACCAGTTGGCAACCCCATTTCCACCTTATCCCAGCACTCAGAAGCCTCTTCTCTAACACTATTTTGCCATGGCACTTAACCTTCTAACATAGTAAGAAAGAAAATTATACTGTGTATATTATTTTTCTCCCTAATGAAATGTACCCCTCTCTAGAGCAAAAATTGTTATCTGTTCAGATGTATACACACACACACACACACACACACCCCAGGGCCCAGAACAATGTCTGACATACAGATGTTTAATAACTTATTTTTTGAGACAGAGTTTACTTTGTCACCCTGGGTAGAGTGCTGTGGTGTCATCACACGGCAAGCTCAAACTCTTAAGCTCAAAGAGATCCTCTTCCCTCAGCCTCTGGAGTAGCTGAGACTGTAACATGCACTACAACGCCAGCCAGTTTTCTTTTTTTGGTAGAGATGGGGTCTCCGCTCTGGTCAGCCTGGTCTTGAATTCCTGAGCTCAAGCAATGCACCTGCCTGGGCCTCCTAGAAGGCTACGATTACAGGAGTGAGCCACCTGCCCAGCCTCAATAACTGCTGAAATAAATTAAAGCCCTACTTTAGCTTACTTGAGGATATGCAAAAGAAAGTGCAATAAATTCTCTTTTTTTTTTTTTTTTTTTTTTTTTTTTGAGACAGAGTCTCACTCTGTTGCCCTTGGTAGAGTGCCATGGCATCACAGCTCACAGCAACCTCAAACTCTTGGGCTTAAGCGATTCTCTTGCCTCAGCCTCCCAAGTAGCTGGGACTACAGGCACCTGCCACAATGCCTGGCTATTTTTTGTTGTTGTTGTTGCAGTTGTTTTAGCTGGTGCGGGCTGGGTTTGAACCTGCTACCTTTGGTGTATGTGGCTGGTGCCGAAAGTGCAACAAATTCTGAAGAGACAACCTTGACTAGGCCTACATACATCTAGATTTACAGATTCTGGTATTTGTTAAAAACATAATCTTCAATTTCAAAGCCTACACATTTTTTAAAGCCACTGAAAACAAAGGCATTATTATTAACCCCTTTGTTTTTTGAGACAGTCTCATTTTGTTACCCTCCGTAGAGTGCCCTGGCGTCAAAGCTTACCGCAACTTCAGACTCTTGGGCTCAAGTGATTCTCTTGCCTCAGTCTCCCAAGTAGCTGGGACTACAGGTGCCTGCCACAGCGCCCAGCTACTTTTAGAGGTGGAGTCTCGCTCTTGCTCAGGCTGGGTCTTGAACCTGTGATCTCAGGCAATCATCCGCCTTGGCCTCCCAGGTGATCATAGGTGTGAGCCACCATGCCCAGTCTCAACCACCAATATTTTTAATTGTGTTACTTAACATATTCATTAATAACATTTGACATTTCCTCTGTTAAAGTAATATAATCTCAAATGCAATTTTCAACCATTTCTCTAGATTTCATGTGAGTTAAAAGATTTACATGTACCACAAATACTGATGGAAATGGTAGGCCCGCAGAAATTAGTTTCAGTTCTGCAACAATCAATCTTGCAAACTTGAACCTCAAAACTTCCTTGATCCTCAACTGTTTTCTTCTGTAAAAGAGGTGAGGAGTAAATGAGATGATCTCTGAGATCCTGTTAGGTCTAAAAATTCTATGATGGCCAGGGCCAGGAGCAGTGGCTCACACCTGTAATCCCAGCACTTGGGAGTCTGAGGCAGGTAAATTGCTTGAGCTCACAGGTTCGAGATCAC